GTGACGATTTTCCGTCAAAAACCTGTCAAGCTATATTGTGCAAACTTGTCGAAAGCAACGTTAAACTCGACGGTTATCGTCGTGTGAATATTTGCATGTATGGGAACAACGCTCGAGAGAGAAGGAAAAGCTGATGTATTTTGCGTCGATAACATGAGAAGCTGCATATCGATTTAAAACCGAAAATCGCCTACATTTTTCGCATTATTCTCTTGCTTTTCTTACAAAGCAGGAAATAATATTCTAGATCGTATCATATAAGAATGTAGAGTCAGTGGAAGTCAGAACTGCCAGTGGAACCATTTAATTTTAAAGTAATTGAACGAATTAGGAATAAAATTTGTCAAACGTTTCAAAAGAATAATATACGATGCGTTTACCACGCGTTGAAATACCGTGAAACTTTATGGATTCCCGCAAATTCAATAATTTCCCTGCGCTAAATTCACGTGTGCGTTTACGCCTTTCACGCAATCATAAAGCTAATTACCGGAGAATGATAACCGCGTACACATCGCAAAAGGCATGCACGACCGCGTAAATCCCCATCGCGCCCAACAGTGGTGGTGCCCATTTGTGAACTGGCATACGGCACGTTCCAATGAATTTACTGCGATAAACGGAGAGTGAGTGTAACAAGAAGTAACTATAACGGACGACGTGCCTAGGCGGTATCGCCCGTTGCCTCCTGCCTCCGCGTTTCCCCGACGATACGGGGGAGGGGAGTCGTGAACATGCGGCAATCGTAATGCGCCCGGTAATTTATTTTCCGCCACCGGCAATTTATTTTCCCGCGCGCATTTTTCAGCAGCGCACGCGAGGTCAAAGAGACTAAAACTAAAATTCGTTCACCCAAGACGCCCGTTTCGTCCGAAAGATAGCCTGCCTCTGCGTATCTTAATCTATCAGTGTCAATGGTGTGGTAAAATATCTACGATGATATCGTAGCAAATAACCCGATCTCTTTTTCTCGCGGAGATTACGATTTTTGTGCATACGTGCGTGCACACTGCGTGTGCATGTACGGTGCATGTGTGACACGATGTTGTAAAACATTTTTCATATCTCGCACGAGAGCTCAGTGATAATCCGCGCGAACGAAGATACGGAAACAGCCTGCATAATCCAAAATGTAAATGCTATTACTGTCGTAATGTTGGAAATCTCCACCATACTTTCCACTCATATTGAGCAATATCATGTATCTCTTAAATATTTCCGGAAATCCGAGCTGCTCTTTTTTCTGGTTCTTGATTGCACTTTGGATTTTCCCGTGTTACAGAACGAGCGTATATATATACGTGCGCAGAAACGTGAATAATTAATTTATGGCAAAATAAGCCATCCAAACGAACTGAAAATAAATTATTCGCGGAAAAAACTTGTTGCGAAACTCGCAACTGCGATATCATAATTCACGTTTCATGCCCGGTTGAAAAAAAATATATCGGCGAAAATAACGGCTTTTACAGGAATAATGCTATATTATGCATATCGCGAACAAATGCATAACGAGAACGAGGTACAATGGAACTAAAATCCAGGACCAACAACGAAGTGCATGCATTAACGCTCAAAGTCCCTTGCCGTCAAATGCAAGCGCATTAGCGCGCAATTAATTCACCGGCGTCCATTGTATTGCGTTCTCCCGCGTATTAAGTCCATCGCTTGTAAATTCCAGAGCGCGCGCGAGGAACGTTAAAATAAATCACTGCGTCGACAATGTTGCGGTGGATCGAAATCCTCATAAGAGCGCGAACTGCAGCGGCGATGACGTTACATATTATCATTGTCAACGGGCCGTTTGGCTTCCGTTTGAACGAAACTCGAGAATACGCGCGTATATAATGTGCGTGAATACGCGATACTTTTTCTCCGCCACTACGAAATAAAATGATTACGTGGTTTCGTACGTGGTCTAACGACTCGCAATAAGTTTCGACGCCTCGCGATAACGAGGCACTTCGACCCACTGACGCGATGGCAACAAATATGTTTTTCCACGCCCGAAGAATAGAAATCGATAAAAGCAAGCGGCACGCGATGAAAGGTATCCTCAAACAAGCTGATGTATATTATCGTCTAAGAAATGGGGAGATTCATTGAAACTCGTGTCTTTTCTCTTTTATTGTTGACGTTAATTTTATAAGAGATTTAGCACACTTTTGGTCGAAATTTTAGCCAAGTAAATTTCTGTTAATTTCTTGAAAAAGAAATTGATTAGACAAGTTTTATCTCAGCTTTCCACAAAAGATGTTCTCTTGTTACGAAGTAAGGTAATAACGCTCGAAGACAATTTCCTGTGCTTCTCCCCACGCCCATGACTATACTGATTGCCAACAACTATATACTGTTTACCCTACTTTGCCAAACTTCCTGTAGACGCGCGACGTGACCATAATCGACGGAGACGATGTCGTTACACGAACCCGGCAGGGAATAACGAAGCTCGAGCCGAGAATGTCGCCGATTAGATCCAAATATAGTTCGATTTCCCATTGTAAAATTCCACGGGTCGTTCCACACGCCGATCGATTAGTCATTAGATTGTTGACATTCGAACGCATTCAGTCGAACACAACTCGGAAGTATTTGCGGTGTAAAAACGATCGATTTTCTGTTCGCGAATCAGGCAACGAGTTTCGCAGACGGCAAATGAGGTACGTGCATTCGTTTAGGGTTTCCGGTTAATAGCGGTAGAGTAATGGTAGGTCAGTTTAATTAAAAAGTTATGGCGACCTCTATAATAAGCTCGGTTCTTAGCTCAGCGGCGGCCAGCCCCGCTCGGAACTTCCTGGAGGAATATTAAAGCGTAGGAAAAAGTAAACTTATGCCGGATCTGCATACATGCAAATTATCGTGCAGAAAATATACGATTATGCTAAACGTGCCGCGCCGGCGGTATTTTTAATACCAATGAGACTATTGGTATTACACACAACTTATATATAAGACTTATACATGCAACGAAATCAAATTAACAAGTAACGAAATATTCTTGATGGATGATTTACGAAAACGTATGGAAATTATTTTATCTTATCTGTCCGTTCTCGCTGCAAGCGGGCCAATGAACTTTGTAATTAGAGGATAACCGTGATAATTAGACAATTCCGGTCTCGTAGCTCTGCCACGGACTGATATGCACCGATTGCATATGCATTGCCTACATATTGCAAAACGTAATTGCTTAATTGGGTCACAAATTAAAATTAAAATTTGTAATTACCATACTTAAACGGAATTTTCTAACCGATTACGTTCGGAATTGCAAATGTTGCGAATCGCTACAGTAATTAAATCGCAAACATCACGGACTAGCGACGCTAGTCCTATCTGCATCGAGAGATGTAGCCTTCCTGTATCAAATAAAAATAAACATTTTCAATGAAATCTCGTTGCGCGCGAATATATGAAGAACGAAGTCTATACGGCTGACAGAATCACGAGAGGAGGAAAAGAGAAAAACAGAGAGATACGGAAGCACGGTGAATAAGTTCTCTCCGCGTGGAACGCAAGTTTTGGGACTGCCGTTCGACAATCCCCTTGATTCTGTCTCTCTTATGTGCACCACATGCCAACCGTAAATCAATTCTCGAAATTGTTTTCGCGCGTTCACACGCCTCCGCTCGCTAAATTTGATTCGTCGGAGTGCACGTACCGGCGAGAACTACGAAGACCACTTGTGTAGCCGGTTCATAACGAATGACCGATTTCACACCCTAGTGAATTCGTGCTACGAAAATCAAGGAGGTATCATCTGATCGGAACAGTAGCCCAAACACTAATGAACAATAATAAATCTCTAAATTAAAACGAAGTCATGTTTAAGTAATTAGCTTGAGATTAAAATTTCTCGCAGCCCCTTTAGCACAATCGAATGGGATTTACGTATAAGAAATTACCTCCTGTTTAGTCGCTAATTAATCGCGCAAATCCCGATTTTTTTCCTCTAGCCGTTTCGGAAAAAACAATGGCTGCGCTAGCTTGAGAAATTGGCATCCATTCTGTATATAATCGTTTATTTCCTACTATTTATTACTCTAAATTGATGTTTATTAATTGTCATGTTTTAAATTGTAGCTAAATCTGTCAAGAGAATATACATCTATTGCTTTTTTCTACAACGTTTCAATCATATTTTTTCTCGAATAAATTTAGCTGTTCGCAAAGAACCAGATATTAATGTACGGTCGTTATACGTGAATTTATCTGATCGCCAGTGTAATTGAAGCACAAGTCGTAACGATGCTGCAATTGTAATATTGATTGGATTAATTCGTCGACAAATCGACTATGTGAGCGCGGACCATTTTTGTTATTTGCGAGTTCACGAATTTTATTGTCCCGGGAATAATTAATTAACAACTTCATCTCGCGACGCGCAGGCATTACTCCGGCTTTATACAAGTAATGCATACATGTTTAGCAAATGGGGTCCGACAAGTTCAGCGCGCCACTAATACCTGGCCAGTTCCATTTAGTAATTGCTACCTAACACGCTCGTCCAACTTATTACTGTCTAGGCGCTGTCTACACTGTGGCGTTCCGCTGCACCACACCGACCGACTGCATGTATATTCATCGAGTATTGATTGCGAGTGTATGGACGGGACAGTAATGGAAATTCCGTCGATTCGTGTTAAAGCATTCGATACATTCGATCCGTCAAAACACGCGCATCGAAACAAGACACAATTGCAATGGGTATAGCAATAGCATTGGGTACAACACCAATGATATAAATGTTAATAATCGTCGAGCACGCTGCGTGAAATTATCGCACGACACCGGTACACCTTTAATTGCACTCCAGTTAATTGCAAAAGTTACGAAAATTTCGCGAATTTCCAATCTCTGCATTCCACGGTCCTTTAACTTAGATTCTCAATTTCCTTTATTCTAATTAACTAATTTATATTCTCTGTGCTTTTGTCTGAAAACACTCGGAGTTCCTCGGATTCTCTTCTCAATCTCGTCTTTTAATTCTCTGATAACAGATACTGGAGCACGACCGGGAGCGGCCAGCAAGTCGTGACGGACGTTCCGCGTGACAACAAGGCGGCGATCATCAACAGCATCGCCACGTCGTACGCTCTGCAGAGACCGAGGTACACCGCGACCGCGATACCGCGAACATCGAAGGTCGCCGTCGACGGTAAAATGAGGTACAGCGAGGTCACAGGAAAGTCCGACTGGCCATATTACCAGACGTACAGGCAAACAGCGGAGACGCAGAAGGCGCAAATCTACGAGGATATTCAGAGGAAGATTGCCAACGTGTCGAACGTGTCGAGTACGGGCTACTCATTCGTGAACAACGTGACCAACTCGGCGGATCAGCGCCAACACAGATTCAGGATGAAGCATCACGGATTGACATCCAAAGGCAAACGAGTTAGAACACGTAAGTATTATACGACGAAAATTCTCAAATATCTCAAATATGATCTCAAGTTTGATTATTTGTATTTAAATTTTGTATAATATTTTTTTAATAATAATATTTTACTTATCATATTCTCATCTATAAATTATCTATAAGAGCAATGATCCATATTATCGAATTTAAGCCGTAGCATTATTGAATTAGGGCAAAGCGTTATCCGATTCTATTTAATTAGTTTAGAATTATATATTATCTTGTAAAGCCAGCTTTTCTCTATTCGCGCGAGCAAAATGTGGTGAGACGGTGTAATATATATATATATATATATATAGTGATACTTTATCGCTAACGCTATCAATAGCTACCCTGTTGATCTCCACTAATCCGGCGAACGACGATTACGGACATAATTCAAAATGTTTTTCGAAACCTTCGTAGAACCTTCGCTTTTGCTATCTAATCGAGCCTCTAATTAACTCTTTAAACGACACTGTGCACCGGAAGGACAAACCCCTTGGTACAGTTTTTTTTATTGACAGTAGCTAATGCAAAAGCCGAGCGCTCTCAATAGCCATATTTCCCGCGTAAATGATCAAAGCACGCTTCCGCGCTCTCCCCCTTTCCCTCGCACCCTTTCCTGTCTCACCCATTCGCGTTGTGTCCTCCACTCTGTATCTTCTGTCTCGCGTTTGTCCGCTGTTCCGGTTTCCGTATTACATCGATGCAAATTTTTCTTCATGTACGAGAGTCTCGCATGCACATAACAATATTGTACGAGCTGATAATAATAATTATCAGATTACAAATCCATTTATTAAATTTAACAAAATCATAAATTAATATCAATAAAATCGAGAAAATTTCCTGGCTTTAAATTTTGCTCGAATAGTTCTCTTTGCTTACAAAATTTAAAAGAGATCGATATAAAAAATTCTTTTAAGGGCCGTGGAATTTAGAGATTTAATTAGTTGATATTAATTGAAAGTATATAATCTAGTTTAGTTAAAAATTTGAAGATCCTATTAAAGATTCCTTTTTTTTTTAGGAGTCAGCAGCTGAATCGAATTGACTCTTACGATTTATTTAACTCTAAAATCATTGCATTTTAAATTCAATTCAGCTGTTGACTCTTTAAAAAAAAATAGAAACAATGGACCAATCTTTAATCGGATCTTCAAATTTTTAACTGTAGATTATATACTTTTAATTAATATCAACTAATTAAATCTCTAAATTCCTCGGCCCATGAAAGAATTTTTTATATCTTTTTTAAATTTTGTAAGAAAAGAGAACTATTCAAGCAAAATTTAAAGCCAGGAAATTTCCTCGATTTTCGTTGCGGTCACCTATTCCGAAGATCGTGGTTATCTACCCCGAGGATTTCCCTGCACGTCGCGAGATTAGACATGAGCTCGCTCATCCGCTCGAGCGGAATAATTGCATTCGTGATTCCAGGTGCACCGAGAGATTGCAAGGTCGGCGAATGGGGCCCGTGGAGCGCGTGCAGTCGCAGCTGCGGGGTGGGCGAGACCCAGAGGACGCGGAAAGTCACGATAAAGCCGCGCCGGGGTGGCGCACTGTGTCCGCCGCTGAAGGAGACCAAATGGTGCGGTAGCGTCAATCCGTGCTCGGAGAGTAAGCCGATCATCGACTATCATTGGTAGTCATCGTTCGCGTCGGTCCCCTTCCACGAACACGTGTACCAAAGTGACTCGCTCACGGACGACAGGTCGTGTAAGCCAAAGACGGGCAAGACGAGCGAGGAGTGACTTATGCGAGAAACGCACGCTGGGACGCGAATATGATGATTAAATATGGGAAATTCGATAAATGGAAAAATTATATAAGCTGAAGAAGAATATCTTTTTTATATATCTCTCTCTCATACACACACACATACACAATAGTCACGTACAATAGTCACCGCAACATGACTAGAGGTGTATTTGTGAGATATGTCATACTTTAGAACGGGAGTAGCGATCTGCGTGATTTGACAATATGCGTTACACGAAAATTCATAAACAATATCTGATATTTTAAGGTAAAAGAATTAGTAACTGCAGCGATTACATTGGCATCGGACGATAATACCATGTGCATTTACGCAGACGACTATAATGATCATGCATGACGTAATTTCGCGTAATCCCATTGCTATTAAATCCTGTTTGATATATACCTAAACGAATGGCCGTGACGAGGAAGAGCGTCGAGTCATATAATCGAACGGTATAATATATTTCATTACAATTAGTATTCGCAACCATTGCATATTTTCGCGGCAAACAAGCGGAGAAGCATTATCGCATATACATTGCAGCGGCTTTATTTTACTCGCTTGCATTTATTGTCGTTTGATGTCACGTTCGTCCTGTGCGATACGTACACATACAGGTGTGTGTCGCTCGAACCGCGAATATTGAAAAACACAAAGATTGCCAAAGAGAAATTCGAATAGCTGACTCGCGTCGTATCGCGTTTCCGCGTGTATCACTAAAATGCGTTTGAGGCTCGATTTTCACTCCGAGCGCACGGCGTTTCGATCTTTTTTTGTTTTCAGAATAATTGAACAATCGGCGTTGTTTGTCGAATTTGTTATGGCGAAGTTTCGACGAAAACGCCGTGGAATAGCGAAAAAGTAACGTATCTATTTAGAGTATATGTTTTGTTAGTGCAAGTTGAATTATAGAGTTCTACCTCGTGATGACTCGTAATCAGCTGCAAATCTTATGGCAGATAATAAAATTATGGACACATTAATACATCTTCGAAAGAGATTGTATATTCCCTTAATTTACATATATTATTTTAACGTATATATTATGATATATCGCTATTGAAAATTAAGTTAATTCCCGACTTTACTCGCGTCAAAAGCGGGTTTAACGACCGTCGGGACGAGGTAATAACATGCCTAATCTTTGCACGCGATCGAAAAAAGAAAGGAACCTTGGCATAATTGGAAAATTGGACCGACTTTCCGGAAGAAAAACGTTAGGTGCAATTAAGCTGACAGTTTAATCGCCAGTACAAATGACGGACCGCGGTACGAGTGTGGTGATCGGTGAGCTGCACGTTCAGGTGCGAGAATTTCTCGGTGAAATTCAACCATCGCGTGCAGCACCGGAGTCTCGCTGAGATTAAGCCGGCGTTTCCCGAAACGTACTGCATTACTTAAAACGAAGTTTTTATCGGCCCACTATTTCCCATCGCGGAACGAAAACAATCACGTACAAAATTTGTAATCGAATTCTTTTAAATAAGACTAATAACAAAAAAAATCATTTTTTTATATCTAAGCTTATTTATTATTATTATATATATATTTCAAAGTTTTGCTCTTTAGCTTGTCTCTTTCTGTAACTTCACTGCCAAAAAATATCCTTCTCGAGAAACACATCACAATTTCGAAATGTTGTGCAATGATCAAACAAGTAAAATAAAATATAAAAGTAAAATATTTTGCGCAAAAGAAGAAACAAGATCGATGTCCGCGTAGGATGTATCGGACAAACGTCAGGGCGATTTTCAGCACGAGATGCGCGCTCGCATAAAATCCCAGACAATGTTTTCGCGTGGGGATGTTTTTCGCAAAGCGTCTCCTCGCTCGACGACAGCATCGGCGAAGGATATCGTATAAAGAAGGAACCTGCAGACCGGGTTCTATTTTTTTTCTGCATCGTCATCGAGAGTGCTGCATCTCTGTCTCACTCTCTCGTCTGTCTCTCTCTCTCTCGTGGCGTGGTAGGGAAATTTTTACAAAGATATCACATCAGGTACGTCTTAGGTGAGTGTATTATATCTTAGGCATAAATTTAACAATAATAATTAATAACTAACGTCTAATCGTTAATTATTAGGCCCGTATTAATCGCGCTCGCGACGCGGAGCTCGGCGTTGTGGAAAATGCGAAACTTAAATTATAAGAACGAAAAGCAATCTCGCTTTGGTGGATGGATTTAAGGGTGCAACGCTGAATTCCGTTTGCGACGTATGTTGACGCACGGCTTGTCCTTCACGTCTAGCGGCTGCTATTCTCGTTGGACGTTTAGCATATTAAACGCGATTGATCGATCGTGAGAGAAATTTGATACGATCAATGAAATTAAATGTTAAAAATAGCCATAATTTGTCTAATGAAGTACGGTGAACGTAACAAACAAGGAACAACAATTAATCTACACATACACACACGTAAAATGGCACGGTTGTATTTAGCGCTACATATGCGGCCAGGATAAAAGTCTACATAGCTAAAATACTTATAACTCTTACGACTTTTTATTTTAATGGAGGTATTAATTTCGACAGAAAAACGAACTGTATCTATTGCTGTGTGTGTGCACTGCTACGGTTTAAATAGTGTATACATTTTTGAAATTAATTTCTGATGTTACATAATGATAATGATTTTCCTGCTACAATTTGACTTCCGCGAAACACGAAGTAAGCACGCTGCCTGGAAAAGAATGGTACGAGCGGAAAATGTAACGTACTGTACAACTCGTATACTGCCGCATATAATATCTACGTTTGCCCGTTCCGCTGTAAACTAATATGAAAGACCAATCTTTGCGATGGTAATGGATAAACATGGCGAGAACTCGATTACGCGTAAAAATTTTTAATCGCAAATTGCCGTGTGGTAACGTAACAGCTTCCACAATTATCTCATACTTCACAAAACTCCTATTACTGTATTTTAAACGATATTAAATAAAGATACGAAAAATCCGCACACATCTTGGACAATACTCTAATAGATGTACTCATAAGATGATATATCGTTTTTATACAAATACAATTTCTGCTCGTGCTAAGATCTTTTTTTAAAATTTCCAAGTTATTAAAGCTTTTCGAAAGCTTTTCGAAATAGTTTAGAAAGTCCTTGTACGATGGAAATAATACAATAGCTACCGGACAAAAACTGGATACGAAAACCGAGATGACCGTACCGTGGTCGAAATTTTCTCGAAGGAAAGAACTGTCTCCGTCAAGAAAAAATCCTTCGTTAAAATTCGTTAACAACAGTCTCCGGTATGCGTTTTACAAGCGAAATATAATACTCTTCAACCTACATATCTTTGGAGCACAAATACACAACAGAACAAGAAAACACACGACGAGGATCGATAATCTTAATTACGACGTATTTAGGGCGTTTTCGTATTATCCGATCGTTTGCGATAATTAGCGGCTGATCTTCGCAAGAGAGAATCTCTCGAGAAAGCCGTTGACGGCGGAAGCGCGCGGATGAGATCAAATATCAAGCCAGGCTAATCCCTGAGACCGGAAATCTATCCGGCGTATTGTAAAATCTGTCATGAAACAATGCAGCACGGTGATAAGAGAGCCGCTTTTCATTTCTCGGTATACACACATACACATACATACACGTGCACGCAAACACATCCACGCACGCATACACAGATATATATGTATAGGAAGGAGGACCGAGCCGTTGCCGTCTCGCAGTTAGATGCATTAAGGATAAATTTGTAAACTAAACGGGAACGCTTTCGTGACATGAGAGCTTCTGTGACATAGAAAGAGGAAAGGAGTGGATATGCTTGAAATAACGATGCAAATAAATTTGTAGATAAATGTGTTTGAGTTTGATGCGCTTGGCTCGATGCAATTGAATCAGAAAATTCGCTTCCGCCAGAGACTGTAATAACTTGAAATCTTTTTCTTTGTTCGAGTTTAACAATACGCGATCACGATCTCAATCAAAATTTTCTGAGTGTCACAAATACTTATATATGCGTGCTTTTAATAGCATATCTAATTGTACTAATTATGATTACTTTAATTTTTTTTTATAATTTGTGCACAATATAATTCACAGTCTGTTCTTTACGGAATAGATTCGGTCTTTTCTTTACAGAAAGAACGACAACTACTATAATTTTTTGCAAGTTTTGTTTACCATCAAATATTTATTACAATATACAAATGCATTTTCATCTTTTCCTCTTTCGCGCGTTACCGGCGTTACGTGACAATGACAAATCAATGACAGATCAATGGAGGAGTATGTGGAGTGCCACGATGATGATTCTGTACAAGTCACTGTGCATTCTAGCCGATAAGGATAGCCGATAGGACTAGTGATTAAGCCAAAGCATATGTAGCGATGTATAACACATAAGTTTATATTACATAATAAAATGTGTCGAGAAAATAAGCGGGCTCCCTTCTCGATCTTCGAATACATAATATTTTTCACTTGCGACGTATGAATGGTATTCGTATATAATAAAGTAGTAATTATTTCAGGAATCGTGTAATCCTCTCTCTTTATTATCCATCTTTTAATATTCACCGTGCGCAAACCCTTTTTCCAAAAATGAACATTTCTAAACAACAGTCTTATCAACTGTTAAAAAAATAGCGTCAAGAAAATCATATTTTAAATAATAATAAAAAACAACTCAATTTTTCTTTGCGAAATAGTAGATTCGTTACCAGATTATGCTACATTTTATAAATACTTTTATGTAATATATTTTATAATATAATATATATTATAAAATATATTGACATAATATGTATATATTTTTAACTATATATGAAAAATTATATGATTACAAAATTAATTATAAATATAGAGACGCATGATAGCAAATGTATTTACAAAATCATTCGCTAAAATCAAATACGAAAAGATGGACCTTTTAATTTTTTTCAGATCTTCACAGAACGTTAAAGAATATTTACGACAATCTTAAAGACATTGTAATGATGATAATAACACAGCTATTATTGTTATATTACTCAGCTGAAACGGCTCGGCGAGATGAAAGCCACTGCTATAAGTATGCAATTACATTGTCGTAAGTATGTAACTACGCCGGAAGTAAGCAATTTCGAGTCAAATTATGGAGTCGAACGAGTTCTATCTCTCGTCTACTATTTTCCACCCTCGGTCCCATCTCACTACCGCATCGCTGCCATGGTAAAATCGTCGGTGATGGTTCGCAAATTCACGCTTCAAGGAAATCGATCGTTATGGAGATAGCGTTCTCCCCTTTCCCACCCGCATAACAACCATTTAACTGTGTTACTGTGAAATTTCGGTTACTTTCTTCTCTGCGAAACATTCCATATATAACGTACGTGACTTTAAAAGGGTGCTTTCGAATAGAAAATTGCAGCGCGGTTAATTTGCAGTATGTCAATGAGAAATTTTCCTAGCCAGCGAACTTTTTTTTTAATATCTATGAAATACATCTATCGCGATTAAAATCAAATTTCTTCCTACAACGTCAAATAATATTATACATCTGCGGTGTCTGCTGATTGAAAATCATGTCAATCGAGCTAGGACAAGATATAGACGGCCTTCCAAGCGCATTTGAAATAACAAATGCAGAGAGCCGAAAGCGGCGGTATTGTTAAGTTTTCATCGAAATCCATTTTTCACAAGTAGCTCTTCTTGCCTGTCGTGACGACTGGGCGGCATCATTCGAAAGCGCACGCAGTGCAACGATTCTATTCATCTTTCACTACTCTCAGCGATCCTACTCGACGGACTTGTTTCGCCTTACTCTCCTTCACGTTCCTACCCCGATAAACCCAACAAGTGGCGGTAAGCCCCGAAGAGAGACATAAGTAGCCGGGCAAGGTAGGCACACAGGTCACATCCAATCCTGACTGCGTACTCGACTCTTCTTTATTTTCTAGAAACTTCAGTCTCCCACCGTGTGCACTTTATTATGCTGCATATTTTGCAGAGAATCAAGTTACTGAAAAGCATTCTCTCTCTCTCTCTCTCTCTCTCTCCCCCTCCCTCTATCTATCTTTCTGTCTATCTATCTTTTCCTTCTCCTTGGCTGTTTGCCGTTCTTCTATCCGTGTGAAGTGGACGCTCGGGATAATATTTGTTGAAAGGAAACACTGGAACGAGGATACTAAGGACGCACAAAACTCTTTTATGGCAATTGCACTTGCTGCCGCTTCTTTCTCCGATGTGATATGATTATAGCACACAACGTCGTTTGTACGCGGACAAAATATTTCGCATATATTGCAAATAATATTTGAGTATTAAATTTTATAAAATTTAATACTCAAATATCAAAATTATGTTAACAAAATTTTTAATACAATTTAAAGAAAAGTTAAGTTAATTAATTTATATCTCGAAAATATTTATTGAGAAGAATAAAATCGTGGAATAAAAATAAATATTGATTTTACATATAAAAAAGATGTAACAATGCAGCAAAAATGGTTGGAATAATTAATATGCAATTAATTTGAAGATATTAAAGATAGAAATATTCAGCTAGAGAATAATAATTCGTGGCTCCTTATCGACTAGTCGGTCTTCAAGAAACTACAGGCGGCACTAATAATCGTCCCGCTGGGACGATTCCACCCGTTCGTTGTTATCACGCAACATTACCCCAAGATAAAGCGTTCGACGCAGCGATGGCAATGGCGCTGCTACAAAATTGCACAGAAAAGATCGTGGAAGTAACAATCCAAAGAAGTCACATAATAATACAATTTCCTTTCAACGTCAAATTGTAATAGCGTAATTTTATACATATATCTTGTCGATAATTTTATCAACATTTTGCCTTTCGTATTAAGCATACCTTAATATTTACCGTTAAACTATCTCTTATTAAGAAACTAATATCTTATTACAAAACAGTCAACTACAATTTAACGAACGTCATGTGCTGATTAAAAATTTTCTGCGATACTTTATATAAAAGAAACACGCAGTAAAACTTGAAATGAGAACTACTGTAACACGATTCCAATGCTTCTTCCCGATTGCCCATTCTCTTTAAAAACCTGTCGACTGTACCAATAATCCTTCCCCCGGGACATTCCTAAGTTTAGCTCTTGGATAGTCGAAGCTTTGGTTGTTATCGCGCAACATTACCTCGAAATAAAGGACGATGCGTTTGGCACCGGGCAATGGAGCACGGGGGTGGTGTAAGAGGTGAGTACAATACCTAGAAGGCGTGTGATCTCGCAACCCTCCGCAGATAACGATTAGGTAGGGCCAAATCTCCCTTCAGTATCACGGCGCTCGTGAATCGACAATATATATAACGTGCACGAGAACGAGAGTCAATACACACAAATACCACGCATGGCATATCACATGCCGAAGCTGCACACACCTCTGCTATTGCGGGGTTGAGCGCCTTAGACGACACATAACGATGCCCGAAAGCCCTATACAAACCGATAAGACCGCCGGAGGATCAGAATTTCATCCCCCTTTTTAAGGATCGATCGTGTGTTCGTTTGCGAGTACTTGTGCACAATGAACGCAATTGTCGAGACTTCAACAACTTTAACAATAAATATCACGAAGTCGCTTCGTTTATTTTTATATGCAACTTATTTTTATATTGCAATGAAACAATCAAGCGCCGATTTTGTAAGTAGAATTAAAGAAAATGTTGTGTGCACAAATATCGGAATATTTTTAATTCTCATGTTTTTCACTTCATTTTTTTCACATCAGCTATTTTTATTAAATATATTGAGATCTTTAATCAGATAAATAATATTAGTAATATGAAAAATTAAATATAAAAAACCAAAAACAAATAAATAGCCGTTAATTTGTAGCAGAAATAGTAGTAACAGCAACTTTAAGTTTAGAGTAACGTATTTAGCAATAAATATTCACACGCTGTTAATTTGCAACTTATTTATACCAGAGCTTTTAAGAGACAACGCTGCAGACTGATGAAATCAATTTAGTTTTTTTCGTGGCTCGCTTGATTATATCGTTAAAGCATCTATACGTTCAATCTATTAATTTGCGCATGGTCGAAAATAGTACAACATATAGGTATGCGGTTCTAATAGAAATAGACAAACGAAGAAAGATAATCCAGAGTTTTGGGAGTAATGTAGTCATATTTGATACTCTAAAGATATTCAAAATATAATTATATACTTGTCAACATAATTTATATATTTACTTATTAAAAGTATGTTCGGTACTTTATACCAAACGCGCGATACTTTCAATTTAAAAGTTAAAAGCCATAATGAATACGCCGCTAACAAATCAAGCATTCTGAAATTCTTTAGAAACGTATTACGGGCACAAGTGTTCCGACTTGCATGAAATGATTTTGCGTATAATAAAGTGTCAACGAAGTAAAACGAGAATCTGGTGAGTCTGTAATAATGAGGGGGATGAGGCGGGGACGAGCGCACGTAAGATCGACCGCAGTCAGTCATAATAGAGATATTACCGAGAGGGACACGTGCGGGCGGTTAGAGGCGAGGATAGCCGGAGGTTCATAAAATTAATAACCCATAAATTTCTGGGAATATTGCCGGGAAAATTACTCCGACATATATTACCGCGTCTCCGGCCGACTAACTCTTGGCATCTTCTGTCCCGAAACTCGCTATTGTTCCGACGATGGTGCGGAGAACATTCGGCGTTTAGCGCACCATCTCGTCGTTTTCATCATCGATCTAACGTAAAATTAACGAATTGTTTTGTTTACCTATCAATCTTCGTTATCGTACATACACGCACGCGTTAATACATTACCTTATCGCGAATGATCTTAATAATACCTCCAAGGATATATTCCGTTTTCTGCGACAATGCTCACAGACGTTACTTTGAGTAGGAAGGACGCAGAAGTCAATATTTATTCAACAAACAGAGACACGTTTCACACATCATACATCGGTTACATTGTTTACATCGGATCGCATTGTTCTAAAGGTCTCACTGCGTCCAATCAAACGTTGCACAAGCATTCGGTGCGAGTTTCCCTTCCTCTCCACCCCTCTATGCTCAACCCTCTCTATCAACTCCCTCTATCAGCTCTTCCTCTCTGTCTTACCTCAATGACGGAATCCGTAATAGAGGCGCCGGATCTTCCGGCGTCGTGATCGTTCTCGGTAATTGCGATAGCGATGAATTATTGTTACAAGAAATATGAGCCTCGCAGATAAAACGGGTCGACCCGTCGCCTTTGGCATATATTCATGACCGAACTCAAACGAAGAAAAGTCCACAGAAACTTTGACAAGCTTTTGCAAGCTTTGGAAATCTTTACAAAATTGAAAGTTGGCAATATTATTCGGAATTGTTTGCAGAGTTCCATTGTGTTCCAGAGAAATCAATTGAAAATGCAAGATATTAATTACAGAATATTTAGTTTTGATCACTCAGCGAATTATTCAAAGAATACTTCGCGCTACTTGACAAATTATTATTAATGATATCTAATCCTACAATTTCATACTATAATTAAATGATACACGATCCTATA